CAGGTGCATGATAATTAACTGAATAAGTACATAAATACAAATATAAATACGCACATACTAAATAATAAAAATAATAATAATAATAATAAACAAATACATAAATTATAATAAATAAACTCCAATACAATACTTATTATAGAAGAACGGCTACAACAGTCTGTGTAGTTACACAGATGTGATTCTATCTGGCTTCAGTATTTCTGTGAAAGGGACTTTTCCTACAGTCTCGTTTCCATCTATTTTAGGATAGTATAAGTAATAAATCAAGTAGTATACCGCGGCAGCGGAGGCTGCAGCCCATGTGTGAAGCCCTCATCGCGTGAAGATCGAAAAGAGTAAAGACCAGCGACTCTACTTGCACGACTCCACCGAGCAAGGACTTGAGTATTATTTTCTTGTTATTTCCCTCCACTTCTACACAACTTGTTCTCATCTTTTTGTTTGTGACCTCTCTTCACTATGTGCTTCCAAATCCCTACTATTACTAACACACATAAATCAAATGTCACACGTAGGAGGCAGTGCAACCCTGACAACCTGCATACTTTTCCTGTGCCTTTTTAGTTACTCTCTTTTCCTACTGGTCTCTTGAATTGCCAGTCTGCTGTAAACGAAGTTGATTTCATTATATCTATTTCTAGTCATTCAGGTCTCAGCCTTATACCTGGATCAGACCAGAGGACACTGCAACAACTGTTGCCCCTTCCACTACCTTCACTTTCTCACACACCCCTCACTTGACCGGAAGGGGTGGAGGTAATGGTATGCTCATCTCCAACTATTGGAAATTTTATCCTTTACCATCTCTGTCTGACAACAGCTAATTTGAATCGCATTTAATTACCATCACTAGGCCTATTAAAATCCATTTTGTAGTTGTTTATTGTCCCCCAGGTCAGCTTAGCAGTTTCTTGAAGGAGTTGGATGTGCTACCCTCATCCTTCTCTGAGGATGGTACTCTTCTCGTAGTTCTTGGAGACTTCAACATCCACCTAGCAAAGCCTCAGGCTGCTTATTTCCACACTCTGCTTGCCTCATTCGACCTCAAACAAGTATCTACTGCGGCTACTCACAATTCAGGTAACCAATTGGTCCTTATTTACACACACTACTGCTCCACTGACCATACACTGGTCACTCCACTTCACACTTTAGATCACTTCCTCCTCACTCTTAACCTCAACCTGCCTCAGCACACAACACACACTCCTCAACAGGTCACCTTTCGACGAAACCTACGCTCACTCTCACCCTCCCGCCTATCCTCTTTGGTCTCATCCACACTGATGTTCTCCGCGAACATCGTTCTAAACTCAGGGCTGCAGAGAGGAAGTGGCGCAAATCAAAAGATCCTACTGACTTTGGTCGTTACCAATCCCTCCTCTCTTCCTTCTCTGCTAATGTCTCTACTGCTTAAATGACTTACTATCACAACAAAATGAACAATTCTTCTGACTCTCACACACTTTTCAAAACCTCCTCCTCCTTCATCAAACCTAACAGCTGAAGATTTTGCCACATTGTTCATAAATAAAACAACGAACATCAGCGGCCAATTTGCCACACCACAAACTGACATACACATCTTAACAGCTAACATACACACATTCTCCCCTCCTTCTCTCTACTCTCAGAGGCCGAAGTCTCCAAATTCATCCTTCCAATCACCCTAATCCAGACACTACCTGTCTGCTTGATCCTATTCCCACTCATCTGCTTCAAGCCATTTCTTCCTCAGTTGTACCTGCACTCACTCACATCATCAACACCTCTCTTCACACTGGTACCTTTCCCACAGCATTTAAGTAGGCTCGGGTAACACCAGTGCTTAAGTTGCTTAAGAAACTCAACTGAGACTGCCCTGCTCTCGGTTATTTAAGCTCTGAGACTGGCAAGAGCAGCTTCCAAATCCTTCCAAATTCTTGCTGGTTGAAGGACCACCACCTTCAACTAAACCTTGCGAAGACAGAGCTGCTTGTGGTCCCGGCCAACCCAACACTACACCTTAACTTCTCCATTCAGCTAGGTTCGTCATCCATAACTCCATCAAGGTCAGCCAGGAACCTTGGAATTGTGATTGATGATCAGCGATTGTTCTATCCAGACTGGACTAGTGTAATGCTCTTTTGGTAGGTCTTCCAGCTTGCACTGTCAAACCTTTGCAACTGATCCAGAATGCTGCAGCTAGAGTGATCTTTAACGAGCCGGAGAGAGAACACGTCACTCCTCTCCTCACAAAATTGCACTGGTTGCCAGTTGCTGCTCGCATCAAATTAAAGGCACCGATGCTTGCCTACAGAACAACCACTGGCTCTGCTCCCTTTACCTAAACTCATTACTCCAGACTTACGTGCCATCCAGAAACTTGCATTCTGCAAGTGAACGTCACCTTGTGTGGTGCCATCCCAAAGAGGCACAGTAACGCTTCCTTTTACAGTCCTGTTACCCATGTACATACTATGTACTTATTATAGTAATTACAATTACTGGGTTATAACTAGATACTAACCCTGAACCTACCCCTAACCCATGTACGTACCTTATATTAGCCAGTACTTTCTAGGTAAGTACACTCTAAGTACACGTAAGTACTGTACTGTAAATGGAAGCGTTACCAACCACTTTCACTGACCTTTACCTTGACTGTTCCATGCTGGTGGAATGACCTGCCTCACTCAAGCCGAGCTGCTGAGTCCGTAACCATTTTAAAAATCTTTTTCGGCAACACGTGATCCATTAATACTAACACTTTCTTTTCTCTTCTCTTCTACTCTATGGGCCCTATCTTGCACACAGCGCAATTGACTTTGTACACCGACGCATGTATCATTCCTATTTTGCACCCGACGCACAGCGGACTTTTCCCTCCACAGACGCACGTTGGTTAATTAGGGAATGAGGTCCCGGGGGCGGTTCAGCGAAAAGAGGAGGCGTGTTCAGGTGCAAACGTTCCCTGGTGCTATTTTGCAGTTTCAGAAAACAATTCCGCCACAGACCAGGAAAAACCTAGTCTAAAGTCAGTGGCGCGTAGATACTGCAGGCTTTGAGATAAAAAAACCCCCCAAAAAACAGCCGTTTCAACAGCATCAAGTGCGTGAATAGCGGTTAGCGCTCTGCCTTTATAAAGCGGCATTGAACGGCAGTTATACTGAATCGTTCTTCTTCAGACTGTTGACTTGTCACCGTTGGAACAAGCCCAACATAGAAGTTGCTTGCTATTAAGCACCTATTCAGCGGACCAAATCAAAAGCTGCTATTGTGCTACCGTGCAGCAGGGCAACTGGGTGACCGTGAGACGCTGTAGTCGCGGGACAAAACACCGCTCTTCCGTTCCGATTACCATAACAAATAGATTCTCCCCACTCAGTGAAACACCCACTGTGAATCCTGTTGAATGTGCCCTAGTTATTGGCGATTCTATTACACGGAACGTAAAAATAGAGACACCAGGCACCATAATCACATGTTTGCCGGGAGCCAGAGCACCTGAAGATGCAGATCTCGCATGCCAATGTGCATTGGCTCATTCAAGATACTCGAAGACGATTGGCTCCCTAGCGTGATCCCATTTCAGTCGACGTCGCATATAAAAGTAAATGTTTTCATAGTTCTGCGTTATATTGTGTGAACATTTTGTATTATTTTCTCCTGTTGTACATTGTTGGACTTGACATTTACCATGTGACAGTTTATTTAGGTATTTTTGTTTTATATTGTTTTACACATTTATTCAGTAAATCTGAACGACGACTCCGGTGTCAAGACTGTTTATTGAGTGGATGTGTTTAGCCTGCTGGTACGAAGCCATTATAAAAACTTTTATATCCTATATGAAGTGAAACTGTTTGTAAATAAATCCAGAACTTTATTTTATATTTATTTACTTATTTTGAATAAAATAAGTTTGTTAATATAGCAAAGAATTCCATGCTACGTGACACATATGTGGAATATTCCACAACAAAATCACGTCATCACGTTTTCTGATAGAAACAGGCTGGCTCATCTATGATGCTACGATAATGAGCCAATAACCTGTGCTGTTTGCCACAAATATGCAGAAAAAAACGTTATTGTCATAAAGAAAAAAAATCTATTTTAATAAAAAAAAATGCAAAATACAATTTCGTGGCTAGTTAGAACTATTTGTGGCTGTTTAAGTGTTCTCTTGAAAGTTTTGTCAAAGGGGGTGCCTTGTCTAACTCCTGCACTACATGTTCTTCAGATCATCATACTGGTTTTTAAGCAGCAGAAGATGGTTTTGTAAAGACCTAGAAATATTACATTCTTTGTGAAATATAAACTTGCTGTAAAGTGAAGGTATAAGGTGTCTTGTGTCACAGCACATTTATGTAACGTTTTGGGATGGAATGAGGAGGTATGAACAAAAACATGCTATTAAATAGCCTTAGTAAGTCCAGTCTAGTCCAGAACTTATTAAACTGTTAAACTTATATGTACTTGATTCAGTCCAATGTCTCCTGAAATTTCCATCAGATATTGCAATAATCTGAGCAGAGAACGAACAGCCATGTCTCATTCCAGCAAGCCTGTTCTGTAACCTGTTTTTAACACTGTGTAGCAAAATCATCAGGAGCATTTATTAACTTCTTGAACTGACAGATAGGTATGGAATGAAAGTAAAGAGTTTAACTTTCACTTTCCACACTCTGATTTGTTTTCATGCGTTTTCTGAAATGCTCAAAGTGTGGGTCTACTAATGTTCTTTCAAATAAATGCCACTTGCTTTGATATTTTGTTTAATGCAATGACATTCAATCAATTTTAAGTGGCTTAAGTGTCTATGGGGTTTTATCCTTTTTGATACATTTTCAGCAAACATTATACAGTTCTCTCTAAAATAGCAGCCTTTTATTGCAAAAAATGTTTTGAAGCAGAAAATTGTCCAGTGATAAACCCAAATTCAGCATTGTTCATACTATGCAAACCACACAAATGTCAGCTTCACTCCAAAAAAAAAAAAAACATTTCAGAGGACCACAACAGCAATTTGGTCCTTTACTCTTGGCTGAAGCATCTAATCACATGATACTCTTTACAAATCCGCATTGTCTTTAAAAACAACTGCACATATCGGCCTAAGCTTGATTACACCACACTAACCACACTGTACAGTCAATACAATACCAGTAAGAGCATCATTGGCTCACTGAGAACACTTGTTGGGTAATTTATCACACACAAAAAATTCTAAACGTATGCAAGTGCTACAGAAAATCTGAATGGCACATTTGTAGTTTAAGATAAGGATGATTGCACAGGAATCGTCTCTCTTAGCACATTGTTCAAGCTTTGTTATGGAACACTGATGAACTTAATGGATGAGATCATGAACAGTATGTCATCATCTATTCTGAGAAGTGCAATGAGAAAATACAAAGAACTGATATGGTATAAAAATAAATGATACTGGCAAGTCTAACTTATTGCCTGTGGTATGATTATTAGTTTGGCAATACATAAAACTACCACATTAGAGGAACTTTGGCACTTTTAATGTAAATGTTAATGTAACCTAGCTGTTGTCTATTCTTTACCAATGCATGAGCCGTGAAAGGTAGAAAAGACCCTTATATACTAAGCTTGCTCTAACTCTTAAAAAGAAACTACTGTGTTACAAATCCAAATAAGTACATTTCATTGCCTTCTAATGACCACTTGCCCCACATAATACTTAATATGTCCAAGACGGAAAAATCTACATAACATTTATAGCAAATTGCACAACGGGTACAACTTAAACCAAAAAGAACCTGCTACAGAATAAACCTTAAACAAGAGGAAATCATTTCATCTGTAATAAAAAGCATTAACAATAACAACATTTTTCATTAAAATGGAATAATAACATTCAAGTTGAATCCTGTGAAGTAGCTGCGAGGTGCAAATAAATAATGAAAAAAGTCGTGAATAACTTGTTTTACAGTTCTTAGAAATAACTTGTATGTCCAATTTCATGGAGCAGAAACAGGGACAACCGACTGCTCATACAATTAAAGCAGACTTTATTGGCTCACAGCAGGCTCTAGTGGCAGACTGATGAGTCCTTTAACCAGGCCAGAAAAATGACAAAACCGAAACTGGTTCAGACTAGATTGTATTCCTTCAGTGTGAGCTGCAAGATGGTGTCCTTGACAGCAGCAAACACGAATCTGATGTTTTCTGTGTCAGTGGCGCAGGTGAAATGAGAATAAATGATTTTTTCGCAGTCTGGATTCAGGTCGACAAACATCTTCAGGATGAATTCCCGTGCGGCTTGAGCATCTCTCTGGGCTCCTTGCAGAGGAAAACAGATCTTGGTTAACTTGGTCATACTGAAAATCAGTAAGATTTTACTTAAAATAACCTCTAACTTAGACTACGTTCAGTTACACGCTCAGTCCTAATCTGATAATTTGTGTATCCGATTGGATTCGGATTGTGTATGGTAGTGACGGACGCTTTCGAATCACTGCTTCATGTAGCTTCGAAACGTTTACGAATCTTTTGCTTCGGAGCGTGTATAAAACTGCCAAAGTCATGTGATTTCAGTAAACGAGGCTTGGTTGCGTCATAACGTTTTGAAATTTCAATGGTTAACCGGTGGGGAGGGGGGCGATGATCTCGTGGATTATGAAAGTGTCTGCGGTTTTTACCTGATCTCTGATCAATTTAATACATGTGTAGACATTTTAATGAGACATTAGTATAATTAAAATGAATAATACTAGTTAATAGTCTCTCATTGGCCTGTTTAGCTGAGCCATCCATGGAACAAACAAAAAAAGCCCTAAAAATGTATTAAACAACACATATTATACATACACTTGATATTTAATCTTAGATAATTAGTTAATTCTATTTGATAGATTTCACTTTCAATAAAACATTTGATTAATGTTTGGCCTGAGTTTTTGTTGTATTTACATTTTTGACCAGCAGGCGTCACCAGTGAATAATTTTGCGAAGCACTTGATTCAATTGATTCGCAGCTTTGAAAGGCTTTGTTTCTCCCATCACTAGTGTATCATAACTGTTCAGGGCTGCGTTTCCCAAAGGCATCATAAGCCTAAGTTGTTCATAGAGACTATTGGTGGCAATTGTTCTACGATTAATTTAGGCTTACGATGCTTTAGGGAAATGCAGCCCTGATCTGATTTGTGTGTCCCATTGCTCTCTCTCTCTTTCTTCCATGGCAATGACGTTGCGTTGGTAGGACTATGCCAAAAACAACATGGGGGGGTTCCAAAGTTGTATTAGAATATGACAATGTGTAGCTGCAGCACTGGACTACTAATGAAGCAGCGACAGAAATGGAAGTGGCTTTATTCCATGCTGCCATCTCTGTCGCACAGTTAAAGAAATGAAGACATTACATTACTGGATCACAGAGATGCCTTCTTTATATTATAGTTTTCTGCATGACCTGCACATTGACAACAACACCTTCTTTCTGCAACAACGTCTGCCGCGTCTTTGTGTTTTACGTGGCGTGAGAAAGTGACGTATAGGCAGAAAAGAGAAGAGCAATGGATTTCCAGATATGAGATTTGAATAGGATTTCGTCCCACATATTTTTTTTGCCTTTCCCACTTGCTAAATATGATCGGATTCCAATTGGATATGCACAAACATTTGGACTGACAGTCTGAACAAGGCTTTAAAGTATGAGCAATAGTATTAGCAATGCTTTAGCAAGCACCACAGAAAGACTCATGCTAAAAGCTACATAATTGATCATAAACTTACAATGGTAAGTAAACTGATTAAGACCATTAGTTTGTTTCTCAGTAAATAGATTCAACAAAACAGTATTTTTAGACTTACCATCATATTCAGGAAAGTAATCAACAAGATGTGAAAACATTATTTTCTCTTCCAAAATGTCTTTCTTGTTCAGAAAGAGAATAACTGATGAATTCTGGAACCAGGGGTATGTTATTATCGTCCTAAACAATGCTTTGCTTTCCTCCATTCGATTCTGTGGGGAGAAATAATATAACAGGGCCATTTCAGTGATTATTTTAGTCCTACTTTAGTCCAGAAATCAACACTAACATTCAGTTCACTGCTTCTGACAATTTAAAAAAAAAATCAAAGTACTTTCATTCAAGCATTGCTAAAGTTTGCCATTTAAAGTAAAAAAAAAAAAAAAAACTAGTTCAATCTCTACTGGTTACATGATCACATCATTCAACCAGAGCTCAAAGAAAGCCAAAGTCAGTTTTTATACGGTCAGTATAGGTACAAATTTGATTAAAACGTAAAAAAAAATATGTAGTGGTGTAACTATTATGTAAAAAAAATAAAAATAAAAATAATAATTCTTATCACACATCAACAAATGTCCTCCTGCACGTTGGTAACTGCAATAACTTTGAGGGTATTGATTTCACAAGACTGAATTCAGAACAGAATTTTTATTCAAAATTGTTAACTATATCATGACCCATGATATATTCCGACAGTCAAATATGTGGAAGTGAATGATCATGATCTATAACGTGCGACGGCCACCATGTTAGATTGCACCACAATTCAGAGAATCGGATCTGTCGAATTAAGCCTACATCATGTAAATTCATCCATTACTCCTGAAATGCATTAGCCTGGGAAAACCCAGACAACTTCCGGCAAATTTAGATTTGCTCTGAAAGTTAGTCTGGCAAAGAGCTCATTCAAGATCATTTCCAATCCGCCGAAATCGCGGCACCAATCAGAAACGTTGGGGCGGGCTTTACACGATGACGACAGCGCTGGGATTTTGAACATGATTTTGTAGCCTACATTGCAAAGATGGATGCCGCCGTCGAACATCACTCGTTCGAATCAGCTATCGCGTCTGTTTTAAGCGATTTGAACGTTTCCTTTTAGTTAAAAACCGAGCAAAGAACAACACTCGGAGATGTTTCTGCCGCTCTGCATACGTCATCTCCTTCATCGCTCTGATTGGGTTTAGGTCTATCCGCGACGTCCGTTGGTGACGCCCCTCTGGAAATGATTTGTCTATGATGCTTTGCCAGACCATAACTCAGTTACAACTGAGAATGGTCTGGTTTCAACCAGGCTAGAAATGCATAGAAGTGGATGGTGAACTGGGAGAAGAATAGAGTAAACTTTATAGTTCCCTACACAATGTGTAGGGCTATCTGAAATTAATGAAACTTAATTGAAAGGATTATTATTGCAGCTTCCATAGACATCAGTGTATGGAATTTGTATTTGATTAACTATAAATGTATTTTTTATAGTACTTCATTTAAATCTCTGAAACCTAAAACAAACATTATGTGGTTAAACACTGACAAACAGGCCAGAGAAAATTACAATAGTGTAGGGGTAAGCTGCGTGGCAAAGGGTTTCGATGCAAATTGACCAGAGCAGAGCCTTTTGCCGAATTCGCTTTACTCCCTTTTCCCATCACATATCATATCGGAAAGGCATTTATTTTCAATAAAAAATAAAATATTCAAAAAAAGTGTAAATAAAGTGTGTTTAATAATAAAGTGTTTATCGGTTAGGGTTATCTTTATTGTCCCAATAAGGCGGCATCCATTTAATAATTATAATAAATTAAACCTTAGTCCTGCCCATGCTATCTAGCATATAAGGCAACGAAAGCTCTCCACTGCGCACGATCAGACGCACGGTCCTCGGGTTCCACCCAGCTGATGCTTCTATTCGTCTTTGAACGTGAATCTCCAGTTGGTCTTAGGTCATTATGTTTTTATTGCATACCGTTTAATGTACAACACTGATGTGCAAATAGTATCTTCCACTATTTATAAGTATAAATATAGTCTAACTACTATTTACACTTATTGCAATGAAAATACTGCTATTTTTACATAGTAATCTGCTATTTACACTAAGTGAAAATAGTGATAGATTTTATTTACACTAAGAAATGCTGTTATTTTCACTTTGTTTAAATAGCAATAGATTCTATTTACACTGTGTAAACAGCAGCTATCGCTATTTGTACTTATTTTTCTTTGTGATAGATGCTATTTACACAGTGTAAATACTACACTAAGTGAAAATTAAAACCACTGCAAAAAAAAGAAAAAAAAAAGACATATGATTGTATAAAAACACTGTATGGATTTGTTTAAAAGTTAAAGATGCAAAAAAGATGACATTAGATTATGCCACTGAACCTTAAATTATCAATTAAACATCTGTGTTGAAAAAAAAATCCATCACACAAAATAGTGTGTTCTGCCAGCATTTTAAGTGGCGACTAACAGCTTTGACTCCCTCTGCTGGTACTTCCTTTACCTCATTGTCAGACTCTACCAGAACTTGGTCATATTCACTGAGTGCTACCAGGAACATGATGGAGGTGACGTTTTCAAAGCAGTGGATCCACTTCCGTCTTTCTGACCGCTGTCCCCCAACATCCACCATCCTGATGAGAACGAGAGGTCATGAGGTTAAAAGGTCACACCCGCTTTGGGAGCAGTTTGGAAACATGCATCCATCGGAGCACTGGGCTGTATTTTTATATCAGCGCAGTACTAGATAAACACCTGAATAGAAGAGTATCTGTAAAGAGAGGACTTACCTGAATATGACACTGTGTAGGTCGAAGGGGTATTCAATGATGCCTGTTGTGGGCACTCTCACCCTGAGCACATCTTGCTGGGTGGGAACGTAGGAAGGGTTCGCGATGCGATCTAGTGAATTTAGGTAACTGTAGACAAACAGCGAACATTTTACAGTTCTGAGGCATCTCTATGTTTTCTACTGCAATATAAGAATATGTTTTCTACTGCAATATAAGAATATGTCCAAGTCAAACAACAACAACAAAAAGTATTATATCTAATATATTCTGGATAAAGGAAGCTTATTTTGTTGGAATTTTTTGCACTGTGAAAATATTTAAGCTAATTAAGCACATTCCCCATTCTCAGTAGCGTATTTTAATTTTTTCCATTTATTTTTAAGAACATTTAAAAAAATTAAATTTCAAAATAATACATTTAAAATATATATATATATATATATATATATATATATATATATATATATAATTTTTTTATTTTTATTTTTTTTTACTACAGTGATAAAACAGATTTTTTAAAACAACTTTTTGTGTAGATTGGAATATAAAACGTACAGAACAATTTAGATGGTATCCCACAGTTACTGTCAGAATTACATGTTGGTTTAGCTTAGTGAGTAAAGTGAGTTTTTGCAGAAGATGTAACTAATGTTTGTCAGACTACAGCTCAGATGATAAATATTTCTCAGAAAGATTTCAGAGTCCCCCTGTAGCCAATAATTGTATCCCTTAAAACTTAAACGTTTTTTTCTAGAAAAAAAAGGAAGAAAAAAAAATTCGACATGCCTTAAAATATGTATGAATGTAACTACACCCTAGTCTCATTTAGTATACGCGGTTCTATAAATATATGCAAATTAGCCCCGCCTCCACTCACTCGCACCAGGTCAGTGATCCACACGTTGACTTTATTATTTACAAGATAGTTTGTGGCGTCAGAAACACCAGCGATTTCAAAGACTGTCTTTGGTTCACTGCAGAGAAAATACTCAGCGATTGTGCTGACTTAATTTGTACATGGTTTTTCTTAAAGCAGATTAAAAACATCACATAGACATATAAACAACATCAAAAGCTTGATTTTCACCACAGGGGGACTTTATGCATCAATTTGGTAACAAATGTTGACAGTAACAGTAAAGAGCTCAGATCATTCAGTCTTGGGAGAATTTGATGAGAAATGTTTGGATGAGAACTTTGAGTATTCTTGTTAGGAAAAGGGCACCAATATTCTAATGAGTGCTCAAATTTGCCAAGACACCAGAGAAGCAGAAGACTTCATTTAAAGCCCCATTTGTTCCCCATTTAATCTCTTTGGCATGTAGGAGAAACAACTGAGACATTAGAGTGGTCTCATTGTGATTCTTCTATGGAAGGTAAAAAGCACTCACTATTTTGTGGAATCCGAGAGCTGGTATTCTCTCCTCCGATCATAGCACTCCTGAATTCCTGGGTCATTCCATAAACTCTTGATGGCATCTACATAGGGGTTGACCAACATGAAGACCTTCTCTACATCTACTTCTCTGACAATGTTTGCATTGGCCTGTGAGGAGGAAAAGCATTTAAAAACAAGGCAATGCATTTAAAACAGTGATAAGAAGCTGATGCTTCAGCCAATGGGACACAATCAACACTAAACGTCATGTCCTAGCCCACTTATACGTAACCTGGTTACAACTTTATTGACCCGTTTTACTTGAGACTCAAATTTGTTAAAGTACTATTTGTCTAAAGTTCTCACTTCACCTGACCCAATAAGATGGAACTTGACCCAATAAGATGGAACTTGATTGAGGCTGTGTTCTATAATATTTCAGCTACGCACAAATGGAAAATGGGTTTTCCTTTGGGGGTGTCTACAAATGGAAAAAAGCAAGACGGCAAGGCAGTAAAATGGTATAATTAATTTCATAGCTTGGAGGGGTAATTGTGTTAAGCCTGGGCAACATGATTAGCCAAAGTGATTGTATCTCTCTCAGGGTATTTGACTCAGTGTTTGACCTACTTCATGGCAAAGTTATTTGAGTGCCACCTAATCAATTTTAACTTCAGTGTGTACTTTTATACACAATTACACATTAATGCATTTGGAGCAGTGGCAAGTAGCACAATTGCACGGACACATTAAGCCATGACTCTCATGCAGGTAATGCAATTTGAGTCCAACTCGCAACATTTTCCCCAATTCACTACAATATTTTCATATCCAGGGCTTTACATTAACTTTTTTGCTCACCAGTCACTGTGGCTAGTGGTTTTCCATAGTTACTAGCCACTCAGCATTTTCACTGGCCACAATTTTTACATTGATACCATAGGGAAAAACTGCCATATAGATACTTTTAATATTATCTCATAATTTGGTGGCCGGTATATTAGGCTGCTGTCACTTTAAGACCTGACTCACGGACCCATTATACTGTTTTATTTAGCCAATATACTTGTGTGCGTGCACTTTGGGTGTGAGCACAAAAGGGAATGAGTAAAATTATGCTCAATACAAGCAATTCCATGGCGAAATTCAAGCCCTGTAAGACGAACAATATTGTTTACATTGTTTTTACACGCCACAGCTGAAATACACACTCATTTGGCAGGTGGGCAGTGGTTAATGTCAAGCCCTGGTCATATCTATAGAAGACGCAAAAAAATGCCAATCTGTAACATTCACAGCACTATATAATGTACTGTACCACAGGCGTAACTATCGGTAAGCAGGGTACGCGGTTGCTCACGGGCCCGGACCAATCAGGGCCCCGCGTGACTGGAAGATATTGATTGACAGCTGGGGCCCCCTATCACATTTTACTACTTTTAGTCTGATCGCATTTTACTTTATCGCGAATTCACAGCACTAAAATAATGACAACAACATATTTTACTGATCATTAAATACATGTTTGAAACGAACAATGATGGATTTTGGTGTAACTTGTTTCGAATTGGGACTGGGGAATCCCCGGAATCTCTCTGGACTTGCCATACTGTCAATTGAGAATGCCTGTGTGCGCCATCTGGATATAAAGGATTTAATCGACAACTTGGCACAGAGGAACACCCGGAAAATGCCGCTATAATGTAAGCGAGCATCTTCTTTATTTGATTGGACCTAGGCCGCCTATGTGTGTGTAGTCATAGCATTGAGTAACGATATGTTATGGTGCGCCGTCATCAGCAGTGTTTCTTCATGTGTTTTGTTGTTGTTGTTGTGGTGCGCGTAGGCTACTCCTGATTTTGTCAGTCATCTCATCTCTTATATGCTGTGTCTCTATGATCCTATCCTATCATATTCATGGTAGCCTACTCGTGGACATTGCGTCATCACGTGCTGTAGTAGGGGGACCCGCCTTGATAATCCTGCATAAGGGCCCGGTGTTGGCTCGTTACGCCACTGTACTGTACATTCCTTCACTATGAAAGCCTTGGCTCACCCTTAACAAGTTTGACCTGTGACCATGTCAAGGTAACGAATACATAACAAATCCACAGACACATCACAAAAGAAAGAGTGAATGGGTATGACAAATTATTGTACCTTATTATGTTCATATTTGTAAAGGATCTGGAGAGTTTCCATTGCTCGTATCATGGACTGCAAAGATGTGAAGATGTTTTGGTAGACCAGCTTGGTAAAGCTTTTCCTGTCCTCTTCTGAATAGCCTGAGCCATGAATGATTCTCATCTGTTTAATAAAGGTGCTTTTCCCACTCTCACCAGTTCCTGAAAGTTGTGAAAAACATGTGAAAAGTAAAGTGTTAGCAGTGGACAAATCCAGTAAATTCAACAAACTGGTTTGTTTGAATGTTTCTTTCCCATAAATAAAAGCGATACACTGATTTTCATGAATCATCACTCCAAATATGTTCGGATGAAGTCTATGTCAAGTCAAGTCACCTTCATTTAAATCAGAGCTTTTTACAATACAGATAGTTCCAAAATACAGGTACTTCCGCCAATAGTTCTAGGAACTATGAAAAGGTTCCTCCGGTGTGAAAGCCTTTGAGTAAACTTCAAAAACGTGAATCTGTGAAAACGGTGACGTTGCGTAGTCTATAGGCATGTGCGTTTGAATGCGTATGTGCGCAGTCATGTGCAGAATTTTATGTTTGTATAGTTAAATAATCAGTTACATCATTAAGTAATCAATTAAGGTATGTAAATGAGCCCGTTTTCAATAAGGTTAAAGATTGTAGCTATGTTTTTTTGGAGCATGGTAGCTTGTTTCTAGCTGGATGACCATCAATCATGTTCCCAAAACCAGCTTGACCACTTAAAGGCTATTCACACAAAAATAACAATTTTGTCATTACTCGCCCTCAAAAAGCTTATCCAAACCTGTATAAAAATACTATGGAATTCAATGGGTGCCACCAACTCTCTGGTTACCAACATTCTTTAAAATAATTATCTTCTTTTGTGTTCAACAGAAGAAAGAATCATACAGGTTTGGAACAACATGAGGGTGTATAAATGACAAAGATTTATATCCTTTTAAGATGATAACTGGTAGATGGTCTCTTTCTGGTCCAAGATAGCAAACTTACACCAACTAAAGACCAGCTAATGTCTAGACAAGTAAAAATAAAAATAAATAACTGTCAAATTGGATTTTCCAGCATAGAGAAAAATAGAAGGTCAAAAAAATTAATGTTAAAGGTCCTTTACAATAATTTTCTTATAATAATGATGATAATAGGCATATCGTTAATATAGGCTATATTATAAATGTTTTGCGAATCGACTCGAGTGAACAAAAAAGGAATCGAATCAAAAGAACAATTAGCCTAGTTGATGCATCGATTTCACGTTTTGTTTGCAAGCACTAAAGCACAAGTATGTTAAGAGACAATCAAATCCCACCGCACCTGCAACAGTTGTCCCACCTGTCGTGCTTATACGATTCTAAATATAATGGATCTTTACCTTCCTCTAAAAATAAAACGTGCAGTGGTCGAAGACACTGAATCAGTTACCTTAGAAACGTATTTGAATGAATGCTTTTTATTTTCATATGCCAATTTAAAAATAAAACTATCTGCATTTGTTACGCCTTGCTTGACACATGCACGCAAGTTTTGGTAGAGTTGCACGAAAGCACCGGCCCGTACCCAGCAGGAGCAGTTTGAGCTCGCGCCGAGCGTCTTTCTTGTCACGGCGGAGCTTTCGCTCGATCTCATCGTTGATCCGCCGCGCTTCTTTCGCCTCCTCGCTGAGGCAGCACGCCATGATGGAGTCCAGCGTCATGATTCTCCCCAACAATTCACAATTACGAGCTTTTCAGCAATTCCATTGAAAGAACATCAGTCCCAACTCAAATGCAATCGTTCAGATGAGGCAAGAGAAAGAGTCCCCCTGTAGCGCGTTGAGGAGAGAATCCTAACCACATTCAAAATGCGTTACTGAAATCGTGAAGCGGTGTGAGCTGTTTTATATCATTCACAAAAGCAACAGATCGTTTGGAATAATAACTCCATTGCACGTTGTTTTTATATTTGGTGTTCCGTATTGAATGTCTTTCTTCAATACAGTGATAGTTCCTCTTTAGACTGTGTTAAAAGCTGTCCATGAACTTGTGGTGGGGATTGTTTGCATGAATGGTGTTGCCCCCGTGTAAAAGTCTCCTCACCGGGCGTGGTATCGCTGAATATGGCCGACAATTCCCTGAAATGCCGTTTCCAAACGTTGTGAACGCTAACGTTACAACACTCTCGTTCATCTGACAGGATCCGCGCCTTTGAAGCGATTGTGTAATTTAGTCCATCGAGTTCTTCACGCCTGTTGATTTAAATCCCAGTTTGAATAGGCTCGATTTTGACTCTCGACTCTTCCATATGCAATAGGGATGTATGATTCGCGAACGAATCATTATTTTGAACAGACTCTTCTTAATGTTTCGAACGAACCGATTAGCACGCATTTGTGGGAAAAAGTAGACCGTAAAGACCTTTGTTAACCGTACAGCGGTTTGTGTTTTTAAAATATGTAAATGAACAAGCACAAACGGCAATATTTAGCCTACCGTAACATTTATTTTGCTACAAAAGTAACGAGTAAAATGACCAGAGGGAGTTATTCTGGTTTGACTCAATGAATCAATGTTTGAAATCGACTCAACAAAATGAACCGTCCGAACCAACCGAATCGCTAAAATGATTCGAACATGTCTGCTAATAGCCTGTAATGTTCATTAAGGCATCAGCATCATCCACTCCCTGTGTCAGGGTTCCTACGCAGTTTGGAAAAGTATGGAAAATAATGTAATTTGATTTGAGTAATTTCGAGGTCTGGAAAAGTATGAAAAAAAAGAAAGAAAAATATTTGTTTCCAGACTCTAAAATATAAAATTAGGATTTCTAAAATAAAATATGTATTATAGCCTACAAGAGTGTTTCATGGCAAATGTTGATCATTTAGTGATTCTCAAACACGAGCGAATGGATTCAATGCACACATTTTCATTACGCAAAACTGTTTGTCTTTACCAAAGCGAATCTCTTCTGAACTTCACTAAAATAATGTTTATTTGAATGCCACTCGAACCAGCAACTGATAATCTAAATCAGACTTACTTTGCTGTTTGGTGAGCGTGCAACATCAAACAATGATTGCAATATCAAACTGATGTGTCAGAGGTGAATATATGCAGGTTATAAATCAATTAGGTTTCTTATCATCATGTAAGTGAATTTTATTACTTCAAGAAAACCCTTTTTTTTTTTTTAAGTATTTACAGATGACTGTAATATATACCAAATATAATGCTGAAGATGCATGACCCATTTATGTTGGTCTGACAAATCCACAAGGTTCGGAAATTTGAGTCTGGAAAAGTATGAAATTTTGAAACCGAAAATGTGGAACCCTGGACCAATCTTAATACATTGTTTAATGAAATTATATTAGAATTTAGGAACCCATACTTTGTAAGTAATCCCTTCTTAGATTCCAAAATAACACAAAAAATTGATTCGAGATATTTTCGGGGAGCTAAATGATTACAAACATAATCTGTAGAACAAAAGTAATTGTATGAAAATATTTCAGGATTTTAGCTATCACAGTTTCAAAATAAACAATTTTTCTCATTATCTGTCTGATCACCCTCTCAGGGTTTATTTTGACTGATTAGTAACATGATTTTTACACTTCCTTACAGTCACATGTTTTCCTTTTACTGTCTTTTCAATAGTGTTCTGATAAACACAACATTCCATAGAATATGATTTAGGAACTTGACCTGTTGATCTACTGTCTTATTGGGTCTCATCATGAGTTTTATAGTTAATGGTTCTCAATTATGTAGGACATTTCCAAAGAAATCCTGTATACATTTCTTTAGTGTTGGGAAATTATTTTCTTGGCCTAAATTAATTTCTTGACCTAAATTAATATATTGACCTAAATTAGATTTTTAGTGAATAGGGTAAAAAAAAAAAGTTCTAACAATTACTTACAACAAATCTACCCAGTTTATTCGCTATAGTTTAAATGGTAATACAATATGTCAAGAACTCAGGGTTATCAAATCAGTTGATATTTCACTGGTTTTGTCCATCCTTCTGTTAGACTGTCTCACAAATGAATAAGGTTGAATGGCTGCAGCTGTTCAATTTAAGTACACAATTAGATAATACCAATTTAGGTCAACAAAATACCAAGCAATGCTTAATTTTGTTCAGTCTGTGGTATAAAAATATCGCATTAGCAATAATAAAAGAAAACAAACACTTGCCAACCATGGACAGGTCAGTGTCTGAATAATTTTTGGTCCCAAGCTTTTATCAACTTTACTGGTAGTCCACTGTATGAAGAATTTTCGGGTATAATGTGTCAGTTTACTTTATTTTGCTATCCTCTTACATAAATGAAGTGTGCACCCACTAGTAAAAAATAAAATAAAAAATTAGATTGAATAGTCTGAATTACTGTTTGGTTTGACTGTATTATTCTGATTGTTCCAATCCAATCTGACTTCTGACCTGTAATGCTGCCTGAATCATAATCATACACTGTTCGTTCGTTGGCCAGAGGAGAACTGGGCCCGACTGAGCCTGGGTTCTCCCAAGGTTTTTTCCTCTATTCTGTCACATGATCAGTTTTGGTTCCTTGCCACTGTCGCCTTTGATGCCATTGGCTTTTGGCTTGCTTAGTTGGGGACATTACATTTAACATTTAATATTTAAAAATAATATTGATCTGCCTGCATTGACACTATATGAGAACTGAACTGGAAGATGACATCACGGTTTTCTCCAGAGAGGCTATATAAATGAACTAAATTAATAACTTTTTTACAACAAAAATGAACCATCACTGAACTTACTTAAGCTGGAATGTTACACTATTTTCTTCTAGAAACAAAATTTGTTGCATTATTTTCCTGTTATCTCTGAAAAGCTGCTTTGAAACAATCTGTACTGTAAAAAGCGCTATATAAATAAATGTGACTTGACATGTGACTATATATATATATATATATATAATTATAATTCATTTCATTTAATGTTTAATTTATTTCAAGAATAAAGAATATAGTTTTTATAGATTGCTGGGTAGATTACTTACAAATTGTAGTCAGTTACTGATTCCAAATTGCATGACAAAATTGTAGTTAATAATGTAATCCAGATAACTCATTTTAGGTAATGTATTAATTCGGACTACTTTTGACCTAACTTGTTTATCACATTGATTTGAATAGGATATCCTACCATATTGTTATAAAAATACAGAGAGAAAAATATATTCCATTCTTTATCATCAACATGAAGTGCATTAAATACTACATTTCATCAGGGTTTCCCAGACTGGGGTTCGTGAGTTTAATTAAAAGCTATATTAAATCATACAAATTTAAATAAATAATTTTGAAAATAAAAACAAACAAAATAAAAACTTTTTTTTTTTTAAAGGCCTATTTGTTTACCAGCATGTCATGTGATCATTAATATCAGAGAACCGTGAACTTCATTTTATTATTGACCTAACTTATTAACTTAAAATCTAAGGGCTTACTTCAAGTAAATATATTTGGGCAAAGAGGTTCAGCAGACAAAAAAAAGCTGGAGAATCCCTGCATTGCATGTAAATATGAAATTACATTAATTTGTACATTTTAATGTGTCTGAAAGACAAGCCTTCCAGAGACAGGAATACAAGGTTAAATGACTCACTAATTGATCATTCAAATAATGTGTGTTTGTCGGGAGCTGATTAGATATGCAATGTTGGGAAAACACCTCCCGCTCATGACTGAGACTGGTCTGTGTGTGCAATTCAACAAACCTGGAAGACCTTCTGAATGTATACAAACAGTAGACTTATAGAAAGGAAAATGTCAAATATAACAAAGAATCAGAATCAATGAATTATGAATAATTTACTGCCATTGAGAAAATAACATGTAATCATTAGAAAAGTAGTGTGATTAATAGTAGCCTATTTTGAAATGTAATATAATCTAATTACAAGTACTTCATATTTGTAATCCAGATTACATGTAATCAGTTACTAACCAGAACTGGGTTATCAGTTCATTAGAATAACCCTGGTTACTAGATTTCCTGCACATTTGAATTGCATCTGTCCCTTGGAAAAGCACAACAACCAAGACAAACACACACCCAACAAGTCTGTTTTAGTAAAAGGTGGCACAGATTTTATTTTGAATTTCTTTTAGATTACACCAGAGGGGACAATGAGAAAGAAAGATATATGATATCATGGAAGAGACCTGCCACAATTTTTTTTTTACAGAGAAGCTTTTATTCCCCCCCTCCCCCAAACCGTGGAGAGAAAGAAGTCTAGAAAGATCCATCTAAAATGGTAAAAATGCTTACAAACAGACGTACAAAAGCGCCAGCAAGATTTAACGGATCCCAATGTCAATGAAGTAGAAACGGTCAATCCATCTCTTGAAGTTTTTTCCAATCTGAAAATCGGGTTGAGAAAACTAAAAAAAAAAAAAAAAAAAAAAAAAAAAAAAAACTCAGGAATGAATACTTTTCCCATCCTGAATACCTTCATTTTTCAAATCAAAATAGATGTTCATCCTTTAAATAAAACGGCACTGATATTAAAACTTTAAGGAACTGAGCTTAGTATTTACACTTCCCCAAAAAAGTCTCATCATCAAGAAAACAAGATAATGGGACAATAAATTCATTGGCAAAAAAAGAAACAGAAGATTACATTCTGCATGTTGCACAGACTAAGCATGCAGCTCTGGTAAGGCCAACAGCGGACATCACAGATGGGCTCCCTCTACTTACAAAACAGTACAATCAATAATGGAAAAATCACGTGCAGAAAGAATATGTTAAAGAAATAAAAGGATCCACTTGCTTTTGAGAAAACCTTTCCCTCAAATATGTTGTTTAAAAAATATTGTTAGGAGAACTGGCAGGGAGCACATCTACCCAAGAAGCAGAGGAATGTAGGTTCTGAAAACAAGTTGAAGTGAATGGGTATGGCAGTTTGGCTTCGATCTCCACCCTCTAGAAGAACCGACCAGAGTACTGCTTCACGCTGAAAGAGGAAATGACACGGATGAAAACAGAGACAAAACCTCATAGTGCCGGGACAGTTCAGCCAGCGGCCAAGTGATTTATAATCGGAAAACGCTGTTACAATAAACAATACAAAAACTGTATTATATAAAAAGTAAATACAGGGAGTACATCATCTGGTTTATAATACACTGTGCAGGAAATATTATTAAACATGTTGATTTACTTATGAGAGCATTTTAAGGTTGTTTCCTGACTCTATTAGCATCTTTAAAAGAAAACTCCGGCGCAAAATCAACCTTTGGTCTACTAAAACATTGGTACCTAGTCAACCG